GCTCCCCTGGCTAAGCTCTGCACCCAACTCCTTCAAGACTCAGCTCAGCGGCCACCTTCTCCCCACAGGCATTTCTTAAAGCTGTACCACCCCACTTTACGCTGGACCTGCTAGCTTTCAACTGTGATTTTGGGTCATGTTTCCAGAATATTCTGAGCCTATCCATATTACTGCAGCTACCGTCTCTGTTTAAAGTCTCTCTTCCAGGACCAGCAATTGGTGTAATGGTTATGTTGCTGAACTCCATGTAGTTGACCATGGTTCAAGTCCTGGACCCAGTGGCTTAGACTCACGCTGGGCGTGTATGTGTGCGTGCCCAAGATCCTGAGAAGAGATCCTTCTCAGGGCTGACTACTACCGCCTTTGGGTCTGTGCCAAAGCATCCTCTATGCCCAGGGAGACCTCCAGACCTCGGCGGAGGTCAAGACTTCCCCATCACCTTCAACACATCCCAGCTTTTCCTTCCAGCCCTCCCCATGTTGGTCAGTCCTTGTGCAATGCCCGGTTGCCCCAGGAGGATAGGACCTGCCCATCTTGCCCTCTGCTGCTACATCCTTGGCTTCTGCCTGAGAGCAGATTTCAGTACTCAGAGACGACTGAGGGCAGATGGGTGGATATAACGGCCACGTACTTGGGCTGTCTCTCCTGTGGGCATTTGCACCTGCTGCTCATTCCTGCACTGGCCGCAGACAACAGGAGCTCTGAGACCCCTTCTCTCGGTCTAAGGGGAGACGAGGAGCACACGTGGTGTTCAAAGAGCTCCGTGAGCTGCTCCCAGGAGCGGGCATCTCTCTTCATTGGCAGTTCCTTACGAAGGCATGTGCAGAGCATGTGCAGATGGTATTCGGCCCATCACTCACTCACTGTGATGCTTGAAGTCAAGAAACAGAGACCGAGGCAAAAGCCAGTGATGAGATGAGCCAGTCACCCAGCAGGGAGACGGGGCTGCCTGGGCTCTGGTCCTGAAGCTGCTGCCAGCTCACCCAGCACCTTGGGGAAGTCCAGGCCTGGATTTCTTCCTCTGCCTTTTGGAAGGTGGGCGTAGTCCCTTCTTAGGTGTCCAAAGGAGTCTGAAATCTGGGCCATGGAGACACCAGCTGTGGGTATCTTGCAAAAATGTGCCAGAAGAGGGCGCTGCCACACAGCACTTGGGGCTCCCAGGAGAAAGCACCAACTTGGCCACTGGCTCTGACAAACTTCCTGGCCCATTTTCCCTGGCACTGGCAGGCAGGGGGCCAGATTCAGTAATGTGTGGGCAATGGCAGAGAGGCTGACCCCACAGCTCAGAGAGGAGCCTGAGAGTCTCCAAGGGAACCTCTGGGAGGCTTGATCAGGACCTGCCCGAGACTTCCAAGGGTGCAGCACCCCAGTAAAGACAGGTAGCTCCCCCTCTCTTCCTGCCTTGATTTATCAAAACTTCAAATGCACCAGGTTCTTTTCCACCAAGGGCTTGGCGCTGACACAACGCTATATGCTCTCTTTACAGCACCTCATTGAATTCTGAGGGCCGTTCCCCACTTCCCAGGTGAGAATAGGCCCAGGGAGGTCAAACAATTCCCCAAAGCCACATAGTCAGCAAGTGAGGGACACCTGCTGCTCACCTCCAAGGCCCGAGCTGTTACCCAAGGGCTGCCTCCTGGCCAAGTCTCAGGAAGCAGAAGTGACTTTTCTAAAGACCCTTCCAGGACCCCCACTCCTCTGCATAACCGGCCTAACTGCTCTGCCTCATTTTCTCCACCGTCAGTGAGAAGGTACCAATATTCGGCAACTAAGGCATATGTTTATGTGTATATACACACACACATATACACACACACATATATATATATATATACACACACACACACACATATACATATACATATTTGGAGAGGATTTTGTTGTAGGACATGTGAACTCTCCAGAAAGGCAGAGAGAGACAGAGAGATAGAAAGCGAGAAATCACCCCCCAGGGGGGATGGCCATGCTGCAATCCCTTCTCCTCCTTTCTCCTCTTGGGATCTTGGGCACGCACGCACACGTGCCCGGTGTGAGTATAAGCCACCAGGTCCGGGACTCGAACCACGATCGACCACATGGGAGTCCAGCAACACAGCCCTTACACCAACTGCTGGTCCCCCTTTTTTTGCTTAAGAGAGATTTTTTCTATAAGACGCATGCACTCGCCAGAGAGACACATAAAGACAGAAAGACAGAAAGAGAGAAATCCCCCCAAGGGGGGGTGGGCCATGCAACAATCCTTTCTCCTCCATTCTCCTCTCAGGATTTTGGGCACGCACCCACACGTGGCTGGCGTGTTTTAAGCCACCAGGTCTGGGACTCGAACTGCTGTCAACTACATGGGAATCCAGCAAAGCAACCACTAAGCCATCTGCTGGTTCCCTAAATCATAATCTTAAAGACTTCTGGAGCAGGTGACTCAATAGTCAAGAGAGAAAAATACCTTTCCTGAATCCTTCCCCAGTGCTCCCTGACAGGGTCCCAAGGGCTGAGGCCAGTTCTGCGGTCCTCTGCGAGCCTGCCTGGACTTGTCAACCTTCTCTTCCTAGCTGATGGACACACGTGGGCTGTTCTGAGGACAAGTGGAGGCTAGACAGGTCACAGGGCCAGTCAGCCTGGGCTGAGGAAATCCAGCTGAGTGGTTTCTGTGGGAGGAGAGAACGTGGGAGTAAAAGGAACTGCTGCTGCTAAGATCACGCCTGGAAGCCCTGCTGGTCCCTAGGATGTGGAGACGTTTAGGTGCTGAGAGTGAGAGGGAGTTGTGGTCAGGAATGTCTGCCCCATCCCTGCCGTGCAGTGGGCTTCCTCGAGCACGCATTCATTGAACATAAGCCCCAGGGCTCCAGGACAGCCTCCTAGGGGCCTCGTGCCATGCCTGACCATAAATAGTATAGAGGCTGCGGGGCCAGCAGGTGGCATGGTGGTTAAGGCACTGGACTCCCACATGGCCAACTGAAGTTCGAGTCCTGGACCTGGCAGCTTGCTTTCTCACTTTCTCTCTTCCTCTCTTTCTTTCTCTAGTGAATGCAGGTACTCTATAACAAAATAATAATAATAATTATTATTATTATTATTAATAAATGATTCTAAAGAGAGAGAATAAAGGCCAGAGGGTACCATAGATAGAAGTTCTCAGGACAGACTCAGAAGCCATGGGGAGTAGGTGGCATCTGAGCTGACTCTGAAAGGATGAGCTGGTTTGCCCAGTGGAGGTGGCACAGAAGGGCATAGCGGGGAGAGGGAGCAGCCTGAGCTCTTCAGGAGGGAGAAAGCAAAGAGGTCGTGAAGAGTGTTCCTCTCCTGGAGCCCCTGTCACTGTGAGAGGGGAGGCTGGAAGGCTCTGAGTCATTGCCTGGGGCCCTGGGCAGCAGGGTGAGGGGAAGGGCATGGTTCCGTGCTGGCATCTGCAGGCCAGAGTCACTCTCAGTCCCATCACTGCTCTCCGTGGGTGGTAGAAGGATCCTGTGGAGGGCTGGCCACTCCACACCTGGGTGAACCATCAGGGCTCCATCAGGGCTCGGGTGGGCTTGGGCATTGCGGGGGACTGAGCTGCTTCCTGTGGGACCTCATGCTGTGATCAGAACCCCCAGTGCTGCCATGTGGGGAGGTGTTTGGGTGTGAGGATGGCTTTCTCATTCAGAGACTAAGGTCCTCCCTGTTTTCCCTAATTAGCGCCCCCTAGAGCAGATTGCTGCAGTTGCCATCTGCAGGTTCTCTCTTTGCAGGGCATCCACTGGTTCGTGTAGTGACAGCACCAGAGGCTGCCAAGTACCTGCCCCATGCTCTTGGACTTGCCAATCACTAGAACCATGAGCCAAATCGACTTTTCTTTCTACGTCATCCATCTCAGGTATTCTGTTAGAGACACACAGATGCACCACGGCAGCCTCTTCATAAACCAGCCTTGGCTCTCTGGGGTCACCTGGTGGGAGCGCCTGGTGGGAGCTGAAGCCTGTGCTGGTCCAGCCCCTCAGACGGACTGTCCTGCCCCCTCACACCTGCATGAGAAGGGGCAGTCTCTCCAACCCAGAGTGGACACTCGACCCCAAGAGCCCTCTGGGTGAGGGTGGAGGCTAAGGCTGGGGACAGGGTAGGGGTTGGGGGCTGGGAACTAAGAGGATCGGTGCACTCTGTTCTCAGGGAAAGCTAGGTCATCCCACTGCTGTGAGCTCTTGGACACACTACTGCTCCTTCTGGGCCTCAGTTTATCCATCTGTTCAAAGAAAGGCCAGACCTGAGACAGCCAAGCCTTGAAGGAGAGGCAGGATGTGACACCCTTAGCTCTGAGCCCACCAGAACCCCCGTGCTGGAAGCATACCTTCCGGCTTCTCCCATGGTGTCAGGGGAGAGGGCCCTCACTCAGGTGCCTTGATTTGGGCCCAGACCTGCCCCGTGTACGCATCTCTCACCAAGCACTCCTCTTCTTCCAGTTCAAGCTGAAATGTGCCTGGGAGCATCTGGCATCTGGCTCTCGCTGTGTGCACACCTCCTGAGGAGGAGTGCGGTGGGGAGGTGCTGAAGTCCTCACGCCCCAAGGTCACACAGAGCCTATGTGATCTCAGTGCCGCGGTGTGCTGTGTGAGGTCAGACGTTCTCCTTAACCTCTCTGAACCTGTTTCTTTGTCTATAGAGCGGAGATGACACCAGTGTCTCCTCCTAAGGATTATGGAGCTGACCTCTGTAAGGTGCCTCAGTACATAGCAAATGCTCCGTAAATGAAAGAGGCAAACACTACTCCAAAACATCAAACAGCTCCAACCCTGGGAGTGAATGGTTTATTTCCAAAACTAGAGTCTGGGCGTCTGCACCCCTCAGTTGTTCAGGCAGCCCCTGCTTCCTCTATCAGGGTTTGGGACAGACTACAGAAGAAACAGTCTGAAGCTGAGTGCTGGACAAGACCAGCATTCCTCTGTGGGTTCACTTTTGGTACAGCTGTTCACCTCATGGGGAGGTTTTTCCAGCTGGTTGAACGAAGTGGGGGCAACCCAAGGCCAGGTGGGTCACGTCTGGGGGAGGGGAGGAGGTAGCTAAATGTGGGGCAGAGGCTGAGCATCTCCCCTTGGCTCCTCAAGGGGACTCCTGGGGTGCAGCCCAGTGGCCTGGGGGCCGGGAGAGCCAGCGGAGGGTTGGGCTCTTCCTGTAGGCTCTGTGAGGCAGGGAGGTGACAGGGCCTCATCAGTGGTCATGGGCACTGCTGTGGGAGGAGAAAGGCCTGAGGGCAGGGGTCCCAGGCCAGCTCCATCCAAGACACAAACTGGCTGATCTTTGGGAACCTCAGTTCCAGCCACCTGAGCCCCTTGCTGATCCGTGGGTGTTGCGGTCTTGCTGTCCAGTGGCTCCCCTGGCTGG